TACAAAGTTTAATTATACTATTATTATTTAAATAGATATTTTTTGTATAAAAGTCAAAGAGAATCTCACACGTATCTTTGATCTCAATGCCAATTATAATACTTATATATGGGTTTTGGTTAAAATAAATTTCATGTATGGGGTTAACTTATACGATCCTACTTTAATCGGATTAGATAATTTAATATTTGTTCTTTATACCCAAACTCTTCCAAAAAAGCAAGAGATTTTCAAAATTAATCTTGGGGGTTGCTTGCATTAAAAAATTATGTTAGATGGTCCATACAGTCTGTTTTATAGTTTAAGATTGTCAACATATTTTGTCACTTTTGCATATCAATTATAAGTAATAATACAATTTAATTGATTCAAGTATATCCTAATATATTTCTGGAGTCTTATCTTGTCTTTTGCTCTTTATCATGTACAAACCTAGCGATTCTTATTCAATTCCTTTTTTATCTTTTTTGTCTCGACATTGTCTTTTGTTCTTCATTATGTACAAACTCGTTTCATGGATTAGGGTTATGGTTTTTGAGGGGGAGCAAAAGACAAATGGGTTGATTTTGGTGTTGGATTTTATTATTTGAAGAGATTATTTTCAAGAAATTCAACTCCAACATGATATCACAATTGATGTAGATGATGAAGACGCTACTCTAGAATTGCCCAATAAAAAGATAAAGGTGAAGAAAGATTGATCTCGGCTCAATTAAAATATGAAACAAGAAGAATAAATGATAATATTTTTTGAACATTTTATACTATAACATTTTTGAGTAAAATTAGGAATTTTTAGAATGAATTTTTATGCAAAATTTTTAGTATTTTTGTATGCTTATGTGATTGCTTTTATCACATAAAATTATACTATAGTTACCATTAATCTTTAGTTTTATTTTATTTTTTTTAAGTCTACCAAATAATGTAGGCTAAGATGTCATATATAAATCATCTTTATCGTACTTCTTTTTTTTATGTTTGCTTTTGAGATTGTTTATTTAAAACATGAGTTTATAATGTTGAAAAGTGCAATGTAATTCTATTTTCAATACAATAAGAAATGTTATTTTTTTATTGCTAGAACTATAGTTCATAATGATATTATGATTCATCCTTGACTCCATAGTATAGTTTGGGATTAGTAGAGTTTATAATATGACATTCAGTATCAATTTAACTTATTTTATTTTACTATTCTGCTTGAAGATATTATTATGTCAGCTGATATCTTTTTCTGCGAAAATCAATTATGATATCCCAGTTAAGTATATTGATCCCAGTTTAGCACAAAAATACATTACATCAAATTTTTTATAATGTTTAAATAAAAATTATAGCAAATCTAATAATTAAAACGAATCTGATTTATTTATAGTAATAAAATAAAAAAATAAATTATTTTGATATTTAACCATGTGCATAAAAACTAGTGATAATAAATAAATGAATAATGAAAACAAATATTACAGATATACAAAAATCAGTCATGTATACAATATATGGCACATCAAAGATTTTTAATCTTCAGATCAATATAGAACAAGGAAATATGAAAACTAATTTGTCAAGGGATTCTTCTCTCCATGGCGAGGGTGAGCGTCTTAATACAAGAAAACACAAAAGCATTTATGATAGCGAAACAAAAATGCAACTGAAAATAAACAACTATTATTCACAAACGTCCAAGAAAACTTTTGAGTTTCTCATTCACAAAAAACAGCAGTCACCATCAATTTTTTTAAGGGAAACAAGGAAGTTCCATAAATAAATTAATCGACCCTCTTCAGGATTGACATCAATCGCAATACAAATTATACAATGAACAACCTTGAAACATGAATTTAAAATATTTCGGGACTGTCATTAGAAAGTCCCGGCCTTCATCGCGTCTTCATTGGCATTACCAAGAGCAGCCTCGCTCAAGTAAGTGTCAGCCAATTGCACCCTCTTGACATTTTCCTGCTCTTGAACCAGCATGTTTCCGTACTCCATCAGCTTACTCAATGTCATCTTTGGCTGCTCAAAGGTTGGAGGTCCCTCGAGTGAGTTGACGAGCTTCTTTCCTACCTTCTCTACTCCAACCTCTGCGATCCACTTCCTCACTTTGTCGTCGTAGACCCTAGCTCTTAAGGCACCAAAGAAGTCTGTAAACATAAGAGAAGGACAACGAGTTAGATACATGTGGGGTCGTTTCTTGTGAATTACAATCAGGACCCAAGTGTCTTCATTTTTGGAAGATATTAATCTCATCAAAAATGCCTCAGGGACCCCAAATAGGTGACAGGGACCCCAAATAGGTGACCTAATGGGGGACAGGTGAGGTGTCCCCCCAGAATGAATGATGCACTGGGGGGGACATCTCACTTGTCCCCCTTGGGGTCCCCTATTTGGGGTCCCTGTAGCAGCACCCTAATCTCATAGCACAATTAGGATTATTCAAAGAAGAAATCAGTTTGGTGATACCATGAGCATTTTGAAATTTAAGCTTTAAACATGACTTCAATATTTCAATTATACTCAAAAAAAATTTGGGGGATTTTTTATACGGAAAAATTCAAAATGTCTATTAAAGAATGAAATCCACCAAGAAGTTCAATTGCGTCAGCGTCATGCTTTTATAAAAGATAAGATAATAATCCTCGTATTTCTTAAAATCTATAGCTAATGCAGGCCGCAAGCTAGGCTTGACCCATGAACCGGCCCGCTCAGTTTGGACCGGGCCGGTTCAGACCCGGGCCAGGCCGAGGGCTTTGTCCCTAAGTTTGAGGCTAGACCCAGCCCATCCCACATGGGGCCGGGCTGGATGTGGTCCGAGCTGGGTCTAACCCGGCCCACGGCGGTTCGAGTTGCGGGTCGGCCTGCAATCTTTTTTTTATCCAATTTTTTTCTAAATTATTACGTATAATTTAAAGAGGGAAACCTATCTTTATCTTTCTGAAAAGTCTAAACCTTATAAATTTACAATTGGTGATGGAATTATTTCAAAGGACAAAAAGTTCACGATAATTTGAGTGTTTTCAGTAAATCAAAATGACTAAAATACTTGAGAGTTTAGAAAATCTCTACTATTACTAAAATTACAACTCCAACACCTGAAAATTATAATTTTTAATAGAGTTGCTACTAAAATTACATCAATATATAACTATCACCTAAGGCGGACTGGGCCGAGCCGGGTTAGATGTGGGCCGGGTCGAGCGTGGGCTAGGCCTACTTTTTCATCACCGGCTTTAGAGCAGAACTCAGCCTAGCCCACAACCTAGATATATAACGGGCCGGGTTAGGCTTAGCCCACTGTGGGCAGAGCCGGGTCTTGACCCAAGGCGGGCTCGGCCAGTTCAGCCCGCGGTTCGAACCAGCCCACGCTCACCCTTTGACACACCCAAGTCAGTATTCATCCCTAGCTTGGACACATCATGAAGAATCGTAGGTATTTTCTATCAAGTTAACAGCTGAAGATTATCAGCATGTTAGAGGATGGTTACCAATGGATTGTCCTGGGAATGCATCAACAAGCTGGACGATAGCCTCCTGAGGAACATTATCGCTCTTGAAAATACCCATGCACACACCAATACAGTCCTCTCTAGTTGGTGCCCAGTAGAATTTCTCCATACGTCCATCACGAATTAGAGGAGCATACAAAGTTGAGAAGTCATTTCCTGTTACTATGATAGGAACACGGGCATTTTCTTGTTTGTTGTACATTCCAGGCAGCTGGACATTAGTTGGGTTGTCAGCAATATTCATGAGGGTGGCATTTACCATCTGATTGTTCACAGTGTATTGAGTTGTCCCACCCATTCTTCCAGCTCCTGCATCGAGATCGTTGATGAAGAGGCAGCACATCTTTCCTTTGGCGATGATGTCTGCTGCCTCGCGGTATCTTTGCCTGATCAGTTTCGCAGGCTCTCCCGCATTACCGCTCTCAAGTTCTCCAGCGCTCATCATGATTGGGCTGAAACATTTCAAGTATTCATTAATGGAGAAAGGGATCTTTCATACAACCGATCATATAGATGCTACTACTCGAAATCATTTCTGCGACGAGCATAACCAAGCATCCAAGGATGGATATGAAATCGTAATTACTTTACGTTTTCATAAGCGCTCGACAGAATAAGAATCTATCCGGAATTAAGTGACAAATAACACAAAACACTTCATGATATGAAGCAAACTACATTAGTGAACTTCGGCAACTAATAAGTAAAACAAGACACCATAATCTTGCATGTATAATGAAATCATTTCAGATACTCCACGCCTACGTGGTAATGAAACTCAAGGATTTCACTAGCTCGAGGATGCAAATGATGTTATGCTAGTTAAACGTGTTAGACCACAGACAAATTGGCTATCTTCTTTATGAAAGGCATTAAACATCATAAGAAACAACATAAGTAGTATAGAAGACTCACTTGATTCCCATCTTTGCAAAGACCAATTCACATTGGAATGATTTCCCTTGACCTTTCCCTCCCCAGATACCCAAAATGAGGGGAACCTGCAACAATTAACTGTGTTACTCTCAGGTTTAGAGACGAAGAAAATGATCCATTACAGTTAAAAAAGCTACCAGCTGCTCATCCAGTCACCTTAATGTTAGGCAAGTTCATGAAGTTCTTGGTGATATGAACAACAAGCTTATCCATGAAAGCGGGAGCGATGTAATACCCATCCATGGTGTTGTCAAAGTTGTACCTAAAACCAGTCGCAACTTTAGTAACAAATATTACAAAAAATCAAAATTCAAGATATATAGTTTCAGGTTTTGTTTTTCTTACTGGCGAAGGCCCTGGCTGATGTATTCATAAGAGCTCAAAACAGCTTCATGAGTCCCATCCCCCATGGGAGCTTGAAAGAGGGGATTAACCATTCCCTTTCCTCTGGTGATATCTTGCTGATCATCTGACATATCATAAGCTAGCCCTCGCCATCTATCCTTGCTTGTTTGCTTCGATTCATCGAGGTCTGCAGCCATGACTTTGAATGTACAAGTGGAGACTCTCCCGTGGCTGACACCGCTGCTCCCCTTCTTCAAGCTGTTCCCCAAGAACGCAGAGCTCGGGGCTGAAGCTCCTGAGCTTGATCCATGCAAGCTCAACTGCACCAAGAATTCCAAAACCCAACTAAAATACCAATGCTGATTGAAGAATAACGTTAAGTTCGACTGTATTCAGGTTACCAGAGATGCATTAATCATGAGCAATGGCACAGAAGCCATGCTCGCTTTAACCAAAATAATGATCGCCAAAATAGAAGGATGCCCACAAACACGAAAAAGCCCAAAAAGGGGAGGCTCAAATAAAAATGATGATGACAAAGACATAATATGAACGATTAAAGCAAAGTTGATGGCGGGAAAAAACACAGTACCAGGACTCTGTTAACAGAACCGACAGTTGAGACAGCAGTAGCCATCTGGAAACTGGGGGACTGAATCCTATTGGTGTACGTATCGAGGCCAAGGTTGCTTTGCTGGGATTGGCTGGAAACGTGAAGGAACCTTGGCCCTTATATATATACGGTTTTTCTATAGAGTGCCCTTGGGCACTCTATAAAAGAGGAGAGAGATAGAGAGAAATGAATGAAGAGAGGATCCCAATGCAAATCAGGGGGACCCCATCCTCATTCATTTCTCTCTATCTCTCTTCTCTCTTATAGAGTGCCCAAGGGCACTCTATAGAAAAACCGATATATATATATATATATATATATATATATATATATATATATATAGAATAAT